TCCCGACTTAAATGACCAAGCTTAAGAATCAATAAAATTGGCAACACCCAAGTGCGCCTTCAAATTCTTAAGTTTGACTCACACCCACACCCAAAGGGGTGCTTATCTCATAATAAAATTAGAAGACATAGAAAACAGAAGAAGAAAAGTGCATAATAAATACTTGAACTGAAAATAACACTTAAACTGTTGCCCACAGGGAGCATACAATGTACAGTAGCAAGAATTAAAGACTAAGTACGAAAATAAAATTAAAAGCAGAAATTAAATTTGTTCTACTGCTGTAGAGCTTGAGAGAATGCTCCAAGGTTGCTTAGCTGAATTGTTGATGGAGTGGATGTCTCCCAAATGAGAGAAAAGCTTCAATATATAATGAAAAAGTGAGAACCGGACAAACTCTTCGCCCAAAAGAAGAAAGTCTTCATCGACTATAAGGTAAAGACCTCCCATCACCACATGTTTACTTTTTCTGGCCTTGTCACTTTTTCTTGAAAAGTTGAGAAAGGTAAAGTCACCTAACCATTAAAATAATGAAAAGGTAAGGAAGATTTTTTCACTAAAATAATGTTAGGGGTACTTTATTGGCATTTTATAACTCAACCGGGCCCATTCTTCCAAGTAGCTCAAGATTTTCGGATCTGAATTCAGAATTAAATCCCATTAATACCCAAGAGAGCCAATATTTGAATTTTGTTCAAATCCGTCTTGAGGAAAATACGCCATAGGAAGAATGTGAGCATAAAGTTGGCAGTTTACGAACATCAATGGTTTTTTAGAAAATAATTAAATTCTTGACCTTTCATCACCTCTTAACATATTTTGGACCAAAAATACAGGATAGGAACAAAATGGGCACCAAAGACACAATAAAATAGGGGTATTGAACAACAAATAACTCTCACAAATTGAGACTTATCACATCCCCAAACTTGAGGTATTGCTTGTCCTCAAGTAAAAGAAAATAAAGAAAAAGACACCTAAAGAAAGGAACAAGAACAAAAAACTTACAGAAGGTGTTGGAAATTCGTCTAGTAAAGAAGATGTAGAATTTCCTTGCTTGATCTTTGTAGTGTTGTCGTTAATCAGATCAGTAGGGCTTTAGGGTTAGTGTTTTTGGCAATAACATCGTGTATCCCTCCCCCAAACTTATCCTATACTACAAAAGGGTTTGAAACAAAAGTTTTCGTTGATTCACTTTTGAGTACTTGGAAAAAGTTCGTGACCCATTTCTTGGAATAAACTTGCCCTTTTGGATAACTGGACTTTTTATTTTCGTCTTCCGATTTTTCGAAGACCGATTCTTCTATTTTTTTTTGTTTTGTTTTCCTTTCTCTATTTTTTCCTTTTTTTTCTTTTTTTTTCCATACCTCCCAATTTTTTAAAGGTATATATGTTTTGAACACATCCCCCCCCCCCAAACTTAATATTGACAATGTCCGCATTGTTGCAAAAGGGACCAAAAGGGTACGGGTTGGGTGCAAGGGGAAAAGTGTTTGGGCTTAAAATAGAAGGAGGGCCTACGTCCTCTTAACTTTAACACTACCAAAAATCATCCAAAGATGTTGTACCTGAAATGAACAATGGAACTAGACAAAACAAAATGAAATCCAACACCAATGTCATAAGTATTCACACAAAAGAAATGACGTTCCGTAAATCATACACAAAAGACGAAATAATAATTGTATCTGTACCCCAAAAAATATACCAAAAATAATGTTTTTAAAAGGTGATGATGAAAAGTCGAGAATTAAATCATTTTCATCAAAACTGCTTACTGTGGGCAAGCAGGGGCTGCATCCGCTTCCTTGGAGCTTTGGACAATAGGAGCAACAACGGGAACAACATCAGCAGGCATGATAGCAGTGGCAACATTGACAGAAGTATCAACTGGAACATGAGGAGCAGGAGCGAAAAGGGCAGCAACAACAGAAGTGACCGACAAGGGAGTCTGCAAGGGCGGGAAACACCGTACCTGGGGAGGGCATAGACCACTCAGAAACCTTGGAAGTTGGACCGTCGAGAGGGAGTCTTGACGCCCGTAAAGCTGTCATTCAACTCAGTTCCAATCTCGGGTATACGCCCAAAAGCGTGCATTTATCTTTTCTAGGTCCGAGACGCGGTCCTCTATGCTCCCCACCTTCTTCAATATCGCCTCCAATTTTTCATTCGTTTCTTCCCATTGGAGTGCCAAGACCGAAAGGCAAGTAGCCAACCCATACCCGAGCCTAAGGGATTGCTTGGAGGTGGCTCGGATGGACTGGCCTCATCATCGACAAAATGTGGGATCTCCGTAGATGGCTCGGTCATGGGGGTAACCAGTGGCTCAGTAACAGGTGTGACGGGTGGCTCGGTAGTAGCGGCAGCCGGTGGGTCAGAAATAGCGGTAACCTGTGGCTCAAGAACATTAACCGGTGGCACATTTGGTTGAACAGTCGTTGGCGTCATTGGTTCTTCCGCAACTCTCTCGACCGGTTTTTGCCCCGAGAGACTCTTTCCCAACGGTCGACCGTGTTTTGCCCCAAAAAGGGTGAGCCGACAACTATTGTATTCTCATCATTGATAGGGACCCTAGCCTTGGCCATAAGCTTTGTGATAAGGGCCGGAAAGACTAGGCGTGAATGCGTTCTTTAAAAGGCGGCCAAAGTAAATGCATGTATAATCGGCCCGAGGTCGATTGGCAACTCTCTCATGATACAATAAAAGAGGACGCATCGGTCCCTTGAGATTGTACTATCATGAATAGTGGGAATTAAGTTGTGTCGCAAAAACTGAAACCAAAGCCCCGCCTCCTTGTTGAGATGGCCAGCCAAAATAATTTGGCGCCGGTTATCCCTCGACCATCCATGATCAGGGAGCATAAGGAGGGATGCGATATCATCATCGGCAACTTCTAAAGTCCATTTCATAATCTGAGCAAACGAGCATTCCGGTGGAGGGATGAGTCCAAGGGCCGCATTAAGCTTCGACCTCGACCAATCAATTTTCCTACCCCGAATAGTCACCGAAATGCTTTTGGTGGTGCCAACGGCTGCGTAGAACTCGGTTACCCAAGAGACATTGGCCTTTAACGGGGCAACCACCATATGTTCCCATTGCAAAGCCACCAAATGGTGCTTGATAGCCATAAAAGAGTTGACCAACTTTGGGTCGAAGGCCCGTTCAAGAAGAATTTTATTGTTTTTAATACGGTCATACCTCTCTTGAAATGGTACCACTTTGTCTTTCTTTTTCTTTAGGCCTAGTTTCTTCTTCTATTTTGCTGCTGCCTTTCTCTTTTTGGAGGGTTTTGGTTTACTGACTTCCAAAACCTCCATTTCTGGAACTTCCTCTTCAATTTTCTCCTTCTCCCTAGTCTCCTCTGCCATATCTTCAACATTATCTAAATCCTGAGCCATCTCATCCTCATAATCACTGTCTCCAGGCACTGGTTTTGGTATTGGTTGTGGAACAATAGACTCTGAGCTTGAACTTGCAATACTTCCTGATGAGGATTTTGTGCTCACAGTCTGCCCACTGGGGGCAGTGACTGGTATTTCCTCAACAGGAGGTTCATTTTCTGTTTGAGTCTCTGGGGGTTGCTGTGGTTGTTCTTCTATTGTCTCAGGAACAGCAAAAGAAAACAAATCCTTTGGATTTGTAGAAGCATTTTCTTCAAAGTCAAATTGGAACTCCTCCCCTAGGGTATCACTAAGGTTAAGGTCGAAGTCATGTATGGTGGGTGGGCCGAGTGGTGTAGATGGAAGGGGAATAGGGGGCTGTTGAGTGGATGGAGGGTTAAGAGGCGGAGGAATAGGGGAGGTTGTAGGAGTGATAGATGGTGGTGTGGTTAGGGCAAGAAAAAGGGGTTTGGGTGTTGGATGGGGAAGGGTTATGGCGGCCGGCGGTCGTGAAGTAGACGAACCGACGCCGGTGGTGGTGGTATGTATAGTGGTGAATAGAGGAGGAGTTCGAGTGACACTTACCGGTATGACGACCGCATGATATTCGTCATAATCCACCCGGACAGCCAATGAATGACCGGCGCTGGTGCTGGTGAAAGGTCTCATCGGTGGTGCAAATGCAATGGGATCGGGCAAAAAAGGGTCTGAGTAAACCATCGGTGGAGCGTCTGGTGGTGCGACGGGAGCGGCGGAGGGAGGGTCGTCAACGACAGCCCGCCTAGTAGAGCGCTGAGTAGGGAGTCGGCCGGATGGGGGTCTTCGCGATTTTGCCATGGAAGAGAGAAAGGAGAAGATGAATAGTAAAAAAAAATATGTTTTCCCCCCTATTTCTTAGATATCCGGCGGTTAGGAGCATAGGGAACCGCCCCCTTCCATGCAAAACCTTTGTGTAAAAGATTTTTGATTAAAAAAATGAAAAAGCTTTTGTCCCATCAACTTACACAAGCCACCAAAATCAGAAAACTCATCATTTTCTTTCATTAAAAAATCTCATTTCTTTTTCTAATTTCCCTTTTCTTTTCCTTTGAAGATTATCCACAAAAACCCGCCAAATTCAAACTTTCACCAAAACCCACTGCAGAATGTGAGCATGAGATGCTTACCGAGAGCATACCTGCATGAAATAAACATAAAGTACGACAATTAAAAATATTTACAATATTTATAACAGATGGTTCGACAATCAATCAGAGAGATTTTTTGCGTGGATCTTGCATTCCTTCTGGGAAGAAATGTTTGACCCGGTGTCCATTCACTTTAAAAACCGTATTGTCTTGTGGGTTTAAGAGATCGATAGTTCCAAATTTTCCCACTTCAACAATAGTGAAAGGTCCCGATCATCTACATTTGAGTTTTCCGGGGAAAACCTCAATCTAGAATTAAAGAGAAACACTTTTTGACCTTTTTCAAAAATTCTCTGATTGATTATACGATTATGCCACATTTTCGTCTTTTCTTAATATATTTTGGCATTCTCGTAGGCTTGGTACCTCTACTCTTCCAACCCATTGAGTTGGAGCTTTCTTTTCTCTCCTGCTAGAGTCGCATTTAAATTTAGTTCCTTAATAGCCCAAAATGCCTTATACTCTAATTCCAACGGAAGGTGACAAGATTTTCCAAAAACAAGTTGGTACGAAGACATGCCCAATGGAGTCTTAAAAGCGGTACGGTAGGCCCAAAGTGCATCATCCAATTTAAGCGACCAATCTTTCCGGTTTGGCTTAACCACTTTTTCTAAAATATTTTTTATCTCACAATTCGAAAGTTCCGCAAGACCATTGGTTTGCGGGTGGTAAGCCGAGGCTACTTTATGTTGGATGTTGTACTTTTCAAGAGCGACACTTAGCACTTTGTTTATGAAGTGAGTCCCTTCATCGCTTATCAATGCTCGGGGTGTACCAAAACGTACGAAAATATTTTTATGCAAAAATTCCACTACCGTTTTGTCATCATTTCTTGGGCAAGCCTTTGCTTCTATCCATTTAGAGACATAGTCTACCGTAACAAAAATGTACTGATTGTGAAAAGACATGGGGAATAGTCCCATAAAATCAATATCCCAAACATTGAAAAGTTCGACTTCCAAAATATTGTTTAACGACATCTCATTTCTTTGGGACAAATTCCCCATGCGTTGGCATTGGTCACAACTTTTCACGAATTCAAAAGCATCTTGAAACATGGTAGGCCAAAAAAATTCGCTTTGTAAAATTTTAGCGGCCGTACATTATCCACCAAAGTGACCTCCGTATGGCGATGCGCGAAACTCCTTTAACAAAGCTTGGATTTCATCATCCGGGACACACTTTCTCAAAATTTGATCCGATCCCAATTTATAAAGGAACGGATCGTCCCAGAAATAATGCTTGCAATCGTGAAGAAATTTTTTTAAACCGATTTCCCTGAAAATGATATGGTTTAAGGCCACATGCAAGATAGTTGGTAATATCTGCATACCAAGGATRTTGTTTTTGAAAACTGTGTTGTATGGCCAAAACATATTCATCCGGGAAAACTTCCTTAATCTCTTGATTCCCCCCACTTGATACATTTCTTTCAATTCTAGAAAGGTGATCGGCCACTTGATTGTCACTTCCCTTTCGGTCAACAATCTTAAGATCAAATTCTTGCAACAAAAGAATCCATCTAATAAGTCATGGCTTCGCATTGACTTTGTTAAATAAATACTTTATTGCAGAATGATCAGTATGAACTGTGACTTTTGTACCAATCAAGTATGAATGGAAACGATCAAAAACAAATACTACAACAAGTAATTCTTTTTCCGTAGTGGTGTAATTTAATTGAGCTTCAACAAGAGTCTTACTTGCGTAATATATGGGGTAAAAAAATTTATTTTGCCTTTGTCCCAAAACGGCACCCACGGCCCAATCGCTTGCGTCACACATTACCTCAAAAGGTAGGGACCAATTTGGAGTGATGATAATAGGTGCCGTGACAAGAGCATTCTTGATTGTTTCAAAAGCCTTTTAACAATCAGAGGTGAACTCAAAAACTTGGTTAACATGCAACAAGTTACATAAGGGTTTTGCAATTTTAAAAAATCATTAATAAACCGTCGGTAAAGACCCGCATGTCCCAAAAAACTACGAATGCCTTTGACCGAAGTAGGTTCGGGCAATTGCATTATCACCTCAATTTTAGCTTTGTCAACTTCCAAACATTTCCTTGAAACCATGTGTCCCAAAACAATTCCCTCTTGAACCATAAAATGACATTTTTCTCAATTTAAAATCAAGTCATGGGTCTCACATCTCTCCAAACTTTTCTTCAAATTTTGAAGACAATTTTCAAAATTAGTGCCAATAACCGAAAAATCATCCATAAAAACTTCCATAGTATCCTCAATTATATCCAAAAAAATAAACATCATACATCGTTGGAAAGTGGCCGGAGCATTACACAAACCGAATGACATACGTCGGAAAGCAAAAGTACCGACGGGACAAGTGAAAGTAGTTTTCTCTTGATCTTCGGGTGCAATGTGGATTTGATTGTTTGCTGAGTACCCATCCAAAAAGCAATAAAACTCCTTTCTGGTCAAGCGATCTAGCATTTGATCTATGAAAGGCAAAGGGAAGTTATCTTTCTTAGTAGCTAAGTTCAATTGCCTATAGTCCATACAAATCCTTCATCCGGTAACGATCCTAGTTGGGATAAGTTCATTTTTGTCGTTGGTGATTACCGTGGTACCACCTTTCTTTGGCACGCATTGTATCAGACTTACCCAACTGCTACTAGCAATGGGTTATATAATACCTGCGTCTAACCACTTCAAGATTTCCTTTTTAACCACTTCTTTCATGATTGGATTTAGCCTTCTTTGAGGTTGTACCTTTCCATCACTATTTTCTTCCAAGATGATCTTATGTTGGCAAAGGGACAGACTTATTCCCCTAATATCAGCTATGGTCCAACCAAATGTTTTCTTGTGGTCTTTCAGCAAACTACTAACCTTTCTTCTTGCTCACTACTTAAGTTGGAAGAAATAATCACAGACAATTTTTCTCCTTCCATAAGATATGCATACTTAATGTGCGAAGGCAGTGGGTTTAACTCTAAGTTAGGTGCTTTTACAATGGACGGGGTTTGGGTTGGTATATCTTTAAAATCTAACTGTTCAAAGGCAGCTATGTTCTCAAGTAAGTCTTTTTCACAAATGTCTTCTGCCATGCCTACAGTGTCTCCACTGTGGACACAGTCGATCAAACTTAGATCTAAATCTTCACCTACTGAGTAAATAAACGTACAGTCCTCACTTTCCCCATTGAACGTAAGAGTCTTAAACACATTGAAAGTCACCTGCTGGTCGTTCACTCTCATGGTCAACTCACCCTTTTGTACGTCAATCAAAGTTCTACCCGTAGCAAGAAAGGGTCGTCCTAAGATGATCGGATTCGGCTTCATAATCTAACACTAGAAAGTCGGTTGGAAAGATGAATTTGTCCACTTTTACCAAGATGTCTTCAATTTTACCTTTCGGATATGCTAAGGACCTATCCGCTAGTTGCAAAGTCACGGTGGTAGGTCGAACTTCCCCTATTTCCAACTAATTAAATATGGATAAAGGCATGAGATTTATACTTGCCCCAAGGTCAGACAAGGCATGACCCACTTCTTTCCCTCCAATAGAACACGGGATGGTGAAACTTCATGTGTCTTTTAATTTTGGGGGAATTTTGCAAGTAAGAAGGGCACTACATGCCTTTGTCAAAGACATGGTCTCAAATTCACTCAGTCTTCTCTTTTTATTGAGGATGTCTTACAAAAATTTAACATAGCTAGGCATTTGTTCGAGAGCTTCTACCAAAGGTATGTTAATGTGGAGTTGCTTAAAGATGTCCAAGAACTTCTTAAACTGTACATCCACATTTTTGGCTTTCATCCTACCTGGAAAAGGTAAATCTCTCAGATCCAAATCTGTTGGACCGGTCTTTTTCTGTTGGGGTGTGGGCAGTTTTTGGCCACTGTGAGCAGTGTCAGGTGGAGACTGGGTGGTGCTAGAATTGGGCAGAGCTGCTGTTTTTGGAATAGAAACTGGAATTTGAGTTTCTTCAGCTGTAGGAAACAGAACTGGAAATTTCAATGTGTCAAAAGAATGTGAAATATTTTCTTGACAAATCGGTTCATTATGTTTCCTTTGTGGCACTAGAGTCTCCCAAGTTCTTATCACTTCTTAAAGTCACGGCTTTGACATGTTCTTTTGGTGTCTCTGTGTTACTAGGCAAAGTTCCTTGAGGTCTATTTTTGAGATCCGCGGTAAATTGGCCAAGTTGGGTCTCAAAATTCCTCAAGGTGGCATTGGTTTGGTTTATAAAACCTTTAAGTAAAGATTCAAGTAAACCATTACCTTCTGATGCATTTTGTTGCCTAGGTGCATATGATTGTGAAGATTGCCCATTTTGGTACATGTGATGATTACCTTGCATGTGATGACCACCTTGATGGAATCCCGGGGGATTTGAAGGTCGGTTTTGGACTTGGGTTGCCCCTGGGGGTTGAAGTCTCGGATTTTCGGCCCATGAAAAATTCGGATGATTTCTCCAATTTGGATTGTATGTAAGGGAAAATGGGCTATTTCTTGTGTGGTTCCCAACATAATTTACCGAAACGGGATTTCCGGGGAAAAACTCATAATAATGATTTTCACCACATAAAACACAAGATTCGGTCATGGAAGAATTGGACATTATGTATTGCACTTGACTCTTTTCCCCATTCAAATTTAAATTGTTTTTAACCAAATTAGTTAA